GAGTGTTAGAGGGATTCCTCATTCAAAGAATTGTTCATTCGTGACACCTTACTGGCTTTACAGGCTATAAAAGAAATGCCTGTTTATAAATATTGCACTGCAGACTCTTCCTCATGTGGGGCCCAGAAGTGACATGTGCACTAGCACTCCAGAGGTCATGGGAGCAGTGATATTCTTCTCTCTTCTCTCCCTGGATAAGCTACCAAAGGAAGTAGCTTTGTGACAGGGGTAGGAAAGTGTCTGCTGAGGATTGCTCCTCAGAGCGGCCTTTGGAGTTGCCCCAGTGGTTCCTCTCAAAGACCTTGGAGAAGCAGGCCCAGTGTGGGTCCTGGTGGCTAGACTCCCTGTCTTTCAGATTCTTAGCGAGCATGTACAGTTACAGTGGGGCAGGGGTAGTAGCTCATGCTGAGCAAGCCCTTACTATGTGCTTGTCATTGTTTTAACTTTTGCCAGTTAGGTAATGTTGCTATTCTTACTTTACTGATGAGGAACTTAGGAGCAGAGAGGTGAAGCAAAAGGTCCTGAGAGCTTATTGTTGGTACAGCCAGGATTTGACCTTGGACAGTAAGACTCCAGAGAATGTTCTAACTACCAAGCACATTGACTTATCTGTTTTCATCATCTTTTCATCCTAGAAAAAAAGCAGACGTGTGTCACACACAGAGACATAAACATATGCACACAGACCCTTCACAACCCACTAAGAGGCCTATCTTTTATGGACCCACAAGCTCTGGATAAGAGTTAAAAACCCAGAACCCCAAACTATTTACTAGCTGTACTTTTGACATATCATTGTGCCTATGAAAGCTGCCTTAGAAGGGTCTAGAGCCCGATCTGGTCATGAATATCTAGAAGTTGCAGTTTAGAGACCTAGATTGTAGGCCCATCTCCAGAGTCTTCAGTAACCTGTTACTTTCCCTGTTTGTCAACAGGGTTCAGGATATACGGTGAGTGCTATGGCCCTTGGGGACCTGTGTGTTTTCTGTGATGCTCTCGTAGTCACCCAAGGAGGCAGCACTGGTTTCCTTTGCCGTTCTGGCCAATTGCTTGCCTTAGACACATGACAGGGGCTCCCAGTGCCTGAGGGTCTGCCCTGCTAAAACAAGAGAGGCTGCTTTTCTGAACATCTTTGCTCCTGTTCCACTTTGGGCTTGTGATAGGAGTTCTTTGCCTCGTTTGAATTTCACATTTTGTAGGTGCTTCTGTATTCATTGAGTCTATGGATTAATAATGGTTATGAATAAAAGGGTACATCACAAGCATTTGATATTCGATTACTAGAATGTCATTTCTCTGAATTTTCTAGAATAGATAGTATGGTCCAGAAAGTCTTCACTGTATAGGGCAAGAACACAAGCAGTCCAGTACGTCAAAGCTCACACTAACACAGACTCTAGTCAAAGGGCAGAGAGTGGTCAGCTCCTTCCAAAGTGTGTCTGTCAGTGGGTGCAGTGTGCTCAGATCTGCTCTTCCATGCTTGGTCCCTTCAGTGTCCCTCTCCTGGCAGCAAGGGACCTGAGTGGTGGATGGAGAAGGCAGTGGTCATTCCCCGGTGCCTTGGAGTGTGCTGCTAGGGCAGAGTGGTTGACGGGGGCAGCAGGCTGGACACAGTGGGCTGGGGCCCCTGCATGCCTGGCTGGCTCCAGTGGCTTTTCCTGGTAAAACACTACCTCCCAGTTGTGAGCACAAGCCTCTCATTGTGTGTTTTGTGACATCCAATTCCAGGGGCTCTTCTCCTTCGAGAAGTTGGACAGTGTGTGCTTTGATGATGGGGCTGAGTTGAGTCCACGGGTTCTGTCCCCCAGCCCTGGCCCTGTCCAATATGCCGTCTCCCTGTTGAGTTAACAAAACAGGCATGTGAGGGGTTGCATTTGAGTTTTCACCCCCTCTCTTTGGGTTCTAGGAAACTTGGAACTGCTGGGCAGAAGCTTGGAGGAGCAGCTGTCCTTTGTCACATCAAGCACGACCCTGTGGACCCAGGAGGCTCCTTCACCTTGACCTCCGCTAATGTGGGCAAGTGCCAATCAGTTCTCTGTCGAAATGGAAAGCCACTGCCTCTGTCCAGATCTTATGTCATGAGCTGTGAAGAAGAACTGAAGAGAATTAAACAGCACAAGGCCATTATCACCGAGGTGAGGAGAGGGATTTTCCTTCAGTGGGGAGGAGAGGGCCAGGGCATGGCAGAAACCAGCTGGGGAGCATTTGCCTTCAAGGAATATTTTTGAACTTTTGACTTCGAATTCCGAATCCATGGTGTCATAAGCAGATTCCTGGCATGTCTGTGTAGAAGAGCACCACACATTCGCTGCCTAAGTGCCGCGTGCTCTGTGGGCATGATCGCATTGACCCTTGTCACCACTGGTTCCATGGTTGGGGGCTCTACCCCGAGATCACACTGCTGGTTTTTATCCCTTAGCTTTGCTACCTACAGGCTGAGACCTTTACACCTCTCTATGCCTCAGTCTTCTCATCTGTAAGGGGGTAATGGTACCTGCTCTATCTTACAAGGCTAGTTTCACTGAGAAACTATAAATGTCTGTGTACGTGTTCATATCTCTTGTTCCATTTGAGTAATGCAGTGAGTGGTTATCCCCATGGGACATCTGGCAGGGTATGGGGACATTTTTGTTTATACAGCTGGGGCAAAGAACGATATTGGCACATGGTGGGCAGAGGCCAGGTATACTGCTGAACATCCTGCAGCTCACAGGACAGTTCCACAAAAGACTCATCTGCCCCAAATGTCAATAATGCCCCTGTTGAGAAACCATGGAGTAAATCTATACTGTGAGAAGATTCATTATCAGAAAAAATTTCCCTACGAGCCCCCAGGAGTTCTCTATTCACTAATTGATTATATCTGCAGTGTCCTGAGAAAATGATGTGGGGATACCTCAGTGATCCCCACAGTACACACTTGCCTTCAAGAAGTTTACAGTCTTGTACTGTTGATAAAACCTACGTCTAGGGTGGCACCTATGGCTCAAGGAGTAGGGCCGGCCCCATTTACTGGAGGTGGTGGGTTCAAACTCAGCCCTGGCCAAAAATTGCAACAAAAAAAACCATGTCTAGCTCAAGGTAGACCCTGTGAAAGTTTCTAGTCCAATAGAGGAAAAGACTGAATTCCAGATAGGCTTTGATAAGAGTCCCAAGGAAGTCATAAGAAAGAAAGACAGAAAGGTTTGAGGTACATCCTGGGATCGAGTGGAAATGAATCTATATGTACATTTTAGTTCTCTGCCTATTCCAGGAGAGAGAGGGATAAAATGGACATTAAGTTAGAGAGCAGAATCTGGTGTCCAGAATGCATAGAATTGAATGTCCAGCATTACACCAACGTGATTGGAAGGTTCTGTAAGCGAATCACAGTTTTGTACATCAGACTTCTCTTATTTTCTATGTCTCTGGTTTTTCCTCACTTTTTTTTTATTTTTTTATTTTTTTAATTTGTTTTTTATTAGATCATAATTGTGTACATTAATTATTTCATAGGATACAATGTGTTACTTCTATATGCAGCTTGGAAAACTCTCATCCAAGTGGCTAACATAGCCATCATGTCTTTTTAATTGTTATGTTAAGACACTTATATTCAACCTTTAGACAAATTCACCTGTACCCTTTTCCTCACTTTTGTCTGTATTGCTGAATACTCAACAATGAGGTTTTGTTTTGTGTTTTGCTGGTCTACCCTGAAGCATTCACAGTAACACACAAAGTCTGGTTCTGATGGATATACATCCGAAGGGGAGGGCAGCACAGCAAGGGTAGTTTTTGCCAAAGTTCATGCTTTGGGGACAGATCGCACCAGTAGAATCAAGGGCATTTAAAATTGTTTTGGAAGCCCCCACCTCCATCTTACTAATTTTCCTTCCAGGAAAGTTGCTTGCTTGTGAGTGTGGCCAGGTTATGTGAAGAGTTTGGAAAGCCCACCCCCACCCCACCCCCAACAGAACAAGCAGACACCTTGCAAAATTCCAAAGGAAGGAAGGTGGCAGGATTGGAAAGGAAGTTGAGGTTCTCAGAAGAGGC